GTCAACACGACCCGACACGACACAACACGGATGACACGCGAACACGAAACCGCTCGACCCGTACACGACACGTTTTGTTGACGGGTCAAAAAATACGATCCCGAACACGACCCACTGCGTGTCACGGGTAGACACGACACGACACGTAAATTTTGAATTTAAAAAAAAATTTAAAAACAACTAAAAACCAAAGTGATTAGAAATGTTAAAACGAAAATGTTGAGAATTTTTTTAAAGAAAAAAAATATTAAAAACAACTGAAAGAATTTTTTAAAGGAGTGATTAGAACAATAACAGATCCAGTACCAGAAGAACTAATTCTTATCCATGTCAAACACAATTTGACCACTCAGACCATTGAAATTTATTAAAAAAATTATTTGTAGAAACTGGGCCACCATCAAATACAAAAAGTAAAGAAACATGTTTCTTTGACACTTGACAGTGCATCATCTAATATAGAAAGTTCATTCCTTCCATTATCATCATCTACAAAGTACCAATTACATCCTTCCATCGTGCGTCTCCACCAGAACTGAAACCGCGTTACTGCAGCAATTAAAGGACTCGAGTCTTCCCCTGGTAAGGCTGAAAAAAGAGAAAGCTTACTACCAGCGTAGATGATGCACGTGACCCAAGCTGAACTAGGTGGTGGATGACCTCATGACTAGAACTGAAACGGTAGAAAAGATGACGCACGCAAACAGGACTATGGAGAACAAGGCTGAAACGCCGGCGACTAGGGCACACGCCAACAGATCTGAATGCTGGTAGATGAAATCCAAAGGTAGAGGTGGTGTGGCTGAAGGGCTCTCCATGAGAAGAGAGGAAGACCTAACGCTAAAGATGGGTTTTATAATACCCATATGAAATTACAAAACGCCCCTTAATGAATATGCGGGTTGACACGCGAACCCGCGGGTTAATCCGTGACCCGACACGAATAAAAGCGTGTCAATTTTTTTAAACCTGTACACAACCCGTTGTGACCCGCGGGTTGATATGACACGCGTTTTGACGGGTCGTGTCACGGTTCAACCCGCGGGTCAGAACCTGTTTTGCCACCCCTAAGTGATCCACTTAAGTGACTTGGACTTATAGGCACATATGGCATTTAACCGGATGTTTTTCTTTCGCGTATTTTCACTTAAACTAACCTGGAACTAACTTAAAGCTACGAACATATTTTTATTTTTCTGAACTCATTTACATTAATTTTTATTTCCTAAGGATCAATATTCATAACTCATAGTATGGTTTCTGCATCGTTTTTGACAAAATGCACTATGAATCACTAACTGTACGTCGTTTGCTTACGAAGCTTAAAACTTATAAACTTATCATTCTTAGGCCTATTTTGACTTGCTTGGCATATATTGGACTTTTTTATTCTTATTTCATCAATTATTTGTTTCTGGGCTCTACCGGTTGCTTTGACAGTAGTACGAAATACCCAGTAGAAAACACTATTCATGAGATTTTAACGGAAAGTGCCAGACTATACAATTTTTCGTTCTGAACTCATATTTGGCGTCAGAATTGTCAAACTATGTCTCTAAAATTATTTTTCTCATTTAAGCTCTACCGGTTAATTCACATGACTGCAGATTATCCGACAGAACGCACTGTTCATGACCTAGTCATGATCACAGTCAAAATACTCGAAATCACGCTATGAATTTAATTATGGCATTTAAATCCTTAATTAAACCTCTAATTAAGATTTACCAGTTAGGGTCATTATAATCGACCCTAGTTGGTGATTCAGATTCAAATACAGAAACAAACCAAGGAGAAACAAACAGTTGTTTTTTTTCCCTTTTATTCTTTTAATTCTTTTTATGGATGTTGGATCCTCCAATAGTAATCATGCTAAACTAAAAATACAAATCTGAAAGCTGATCCTGATACCCCAGCGTCTGATTAGCAGCACAGAGACTTTAAGTATTGAGTGTAAATCGGTAATAATGTCTTATTTTAAGCCAAATTATAAAAATATCGTATTTGATGTTTGGTTGCTTCATCGAATTTGTATGAATTCCGTGAAGAATGATAGCAAAAAGAACGTGAAATCTTTCCAATTTTATCTCTAATATCGACTGAGAAAGGTATTGATCCAGAGGAAGAGAGAAAGGATATGGGAGAAAGTGAGGAGAAAAAAAGGGAAAAAAGATTTATTTTATATTGCAAATATCTACCGTTGGATAAGATTATAATCAAACGGTATTAAAAGGAATAAGCAAAATAAGAGTAGGTAGAATAACCTATCTATATATATTATGACATGTAACATCTCTGTATTTTTTTTCCTGCCTGAGGAACAAAAGTCCAACATCGTTAATTAGCTACAGAAATCAGCAAAAGAATTATGTTCTCGCATACGGTAAGCAACCTTGTTTGTATTTGTCTACTTGCTCTAGTTTTCCTACACATTCCCGTCATTGTTTCTTTCTTTAGGTAGTGTTTGGTTCAGGAGAAATTTTATTTTACTAGGAAAATGTAATTGATAGGAAAATGGAAGGAAAGTAAGTTTGGTAGGAAAGTTTAAAAAAAGTTGTTTGGTACCTCAAAATATTAATGGGAAAATTGGGTTAAAAATCCTGATGTATGTTTGGTTGAAAATAAGAAATAGATAGGAAAAAAAGTTAAAATTACGAAAGTAACCTTTTTATTAAAATTTTGAAATGTTAAAGTGTGAAGCGGATGTATTGTATGATGTTCATGCCGTAACCTTGGCTCTCTCCAAGCGCATGATTAAAGAGCCCCACCTCCCCTCACTGACGTGGCACTCATTCATTGGCCCATTCCATCTCGTCGGGATTCATACCAGACACACCAATAAACAATAGTACTCATCCCTTCTTTCTCTATCTGTGTTTTTCTCTTTGCAGAATTTCTCAAAAAAAATTTGTGTTCTTTCATGGTGGCTTCATCCCTTCTCTCTATCTGTGTTTTTCTCTCTGCAGAATTTCCCAAATTTTTTGTGCTCTTTCATGGTGGCTTCATCCCTTCTCTCTCTATCTGTGTTTCTCTCTCTCCAGATTTTCTCAAATTTTTTGTGCTCTTTCATGGTGGCTTCTCCCAGAGCTGTGGAGATAGCAGCGAAGAGGAGGGATAAGATGAGGGGTAAATTTGTCACATTTTCATCCCCTTTTCAATTTGTCCAGTATTCAAAACAATACCATCATCTGAGAGGGCTTCTGAAATAGTGAAAAACTCATTTTTTACACGCATATGTGGATAGATGGGGAAGCAAGTTTGATGGAGAAATTTCATGATATCCTCTAACCAAACGTGGAGAAATGAGATACCCAGATGCACTTTGCTGGGATAGTGAGGAGAAGTCTCGAACCAAACACGACCTTAGTCATGTCATGAAGCTTCGTTAGATTGTGTATTTAGCTTATGAGGGTTTAGTGTCTCTTGATTGTACAATTGAATTCCATTTTTGTAATGTGTTTGAGGAAGATTTGTAAATCCAATCAAATTTAAATAATTAAATTAATTTCAATGCCATAATTAAAGTGTTTCAAGAAATGGGTTCTAAATTCGGTCCTGCACAAACAGTCTCTGATTCGTATTTCCCTGTTATCTTTTAGAGCATTTCATAGAGGAGAATTTTTTATTATCAGGAAATTACAATTAATGGGAGTATGATGCGAAAATGAATTTTCTAAGAAAGTTAAAAAAAAAATTATTTGATAGGCCGATATATTAATAGAAAAATTAGTTCAAGTTTCCTGAAATTATTTTTGGTTAAAGGAAAAATATTGCTAGAAAAAATGAGGTAAAATTACAAAAACAACCACTGACTAAATAATATTGCACAGTACACAATATAGGGTTAGAAGAGGGTCATTTTTGTTATCTATTTCGCGCTCCTTTTCTATTTTGTCGGTAATCTCAAAATATTACCTTCGAAGTGGTATTCTTAAACAGTGTTTTTCATCATAATTTTCAAAGAAATGAGAAATGATGGGCAAATCAGTTTACTGGGTGAATCTTTTAAAAACTTATACCAAACATGAACAACTTGAAATATCCTGGGTATTTTGTGAAAAAACTCCTCCAAACACCCTCCAGTAATACAAACAGTATTGTTTTCCGAGTTAATGTTTATGTAACTGCAAACATGAACAACTTGAAATATCCTGGGTATTTTGAGAAAAAACTCCTCCAAACACCCTCCAGTAATACAAATAGTATTGTTTTCCGAGTTAATGTTTATATAATTGGGGGACACTGGCTCAACCTTAATATCATCATGTCAAACGAAAAAGAACATTTAATATTTATAATTAAAAAAGAACACCCTCATGCAATTATATTTATCTTTAGAGTAAAATATATTTTGGGCCTTCACAAAAAATTATGGGACTTATTTTAATTTCTTAGGAAAAAATTTGACTTATGGTTCTTATGAAATTTAAAATAGACTCAGTTAGTCGAAATCGTGGTCCTTTTGAAATTCAAAGAAGACTTACATTAATCCCTCAAAAAGACTAACATGAGTCTATTTTGAATTTCAGAAAGAACATGAGTCGATTTTTTTCTCTAAAGGATTAAATTGGACCTTGTAATATTTATTGAGAACCCAAAAAATACTTTACTCTTATCTTTATATTTGATGGACATTTGATATGTAAGGTTCTTGTGAATAATTATCAATAAAGAAATAAAGACAATTTTTACGTCACAAAATCATGTGAAATTTTAACATCAAAACACTCATTTGTAAAATCAATAGTGACAACAATAAACTTGGCATCTAAACTAGGTCCATGGCCAATAAAATGTACTCTTTAATATATAACATTGGTAAGACTGAAGATGAAAACAAACTGAATTGTAATACACAAACCAGCATATAAATATATTATTGTCTTTATCGAACAAGAATGAAATCACAAAGATTGAAAAACAAACAAATGGGACAAAAGCAACAAAGGGGAAGGAAAAAAAAAAAAAAAGGTTTCAGCTTGTTTGCCATCCTCTCATGTTTAGAATTGTGGCTTAGAGCATTCAGGAGGCATTTGTCCATTGAATCTCTTAGTATCAGTGCAGTAATCATAGATCATATAATTACTTCTGACCCAATTCAACTGACCCAACTGTGCATAACTCAGTTGTTGGTATATGGGAGAAGTCCACCAATTTGCAGTGATATTGGAGGCACATTGTTGAATGCTAACTGGTCCATTCCACTTGCAAGCCCTTGCTCTAAAATGATTTAATTTTGCTATGAATGGTGCACAAGACCAATTGGTCTTAACAAGCCCACCTCTTGTGGCCCAGTTATCTGCATCCCATAGGCTTGTATAAGCCTTCATTCCTTGCATGTTTGGGTAAGCAATGCCCTCATTTTCATAGTTACGGAACACCCTTATTGGTATACTATCAACATACCACCTGAGGAAATAAATAAATATATATAGGTCATGGTACATTAGAAAGGTACATAACTAGTTCTTTCCTATGAAGCTGAGAAAAATGAATAATTAACTTTTTTTTTGCTTAATATATAGTTTATTATCAACTTACACAACTTCAGTGGGGTTCCAGTGAATGGTGTAATTGTGAAAATCAGAGGTTGGGTCAAACCAAGGGTAAAATTGTTGCTCCTTGCTTCCATTTCCTTGTGTATATATGTTTGTATGGATAATGTATGGTTGTCCTGAAATGTTTCCTAAGAACTCAAAATCTATCTCATCATGCTGGCTTCCTGTAGAGGATAGCTGCACAAATTTTGTGTAATGAAGCATTAATTAGCACTTTGTAAAATCTTTATATTTTTGTTTATTTATTAATAAAACTCTGACGAAGCTATTTGTTATAAAGTAATTCTGCATGTTCGTTATTTAATGGAAAAAAATTGTTAATTAAGTGCTGGGGCATTTGGTAGAAGAGAAAAAAAAATTTATCCGGGAATCTCGATTTTAAGAAATATGATTTTTACATTCAATTTACGATAATATTCGAAAATTAAAAATTTAAAAAAATTTAGTTTCCTGAAAATCCTGAAGAATACCGCGTACCAAACGCCCCTTTTTAAGCTCAAATGAACTTACATAATAGGCTGTAACTACTCCTGCAGAGTTACCAGGCACTAGCTTGATTCGTGATTCAATGCTTCCAAATAAGAATGGTATCTTTGTTTGTGCTGAGGATCCTGAAATTCATAAGCAACACCATTGTTTAATTAATTATACAAATCTTGTCTACAACTACTACATGAACAGATTAATGATTTAATAATAATCTCTCATTTCTACTATACTATTGCATTTAACATATTGAAAGATGCAGCATGCTTACAACTCAAAATTATTTTTTTATCATAAATGAAAAAAAATTCTATTGCAAAGGGCATATATATGACTGTTGAAACAATCTAAATAGGATGCAAGTTATAAGCATAAATTTTCAACCTGAGGTTTGATCCAACACAAGCTGGAGGTTATCACCCTGCAATGATGCATGTTGAGCACCCCAGGTAATGTACATGCTCTTGTAAAAGTCAGCATCCACTAGAACGATGCTGGGTGCGACTGCAAAGAAGAACAAAGATACCAACAATTTTTCAATTTTTGCCATGTTAACGCCTATGAACAACTTTTTGTGTTGATTGTTTAATGGACTTGAAAACTTGGATGCTTTATCTTTAGGTTCGTGCTGACTTTATATAGCAACAATTTTGTAACATTCTGAAGATGAATCCTGCGTGAAATATTTTTTTTAAAAAAAAAAAATTGGTTTCCGACTATATTGACCTTTTCATAGGATTTGACATTCTGAAATTATTGTTTGAGAAGGAAGAGCCAAAAGAATTTATGTCAGCTATCATAAATAAATTTTGCTCCTGATAGGGTACAATTGTTTGAAATCTGATGCGGTTTTGTTTTCTATTATTTATTTATTTATTGAAAAAAATATTCCCTAGCAACCATAGACTTTTGCCTGTCATTAACTGTCACAGAATTAAATGCTACAAAATCAATATTTAAAGGATTTGAATAATATGATATTATTTCAAATTAACTACTAATTTCAAATTTGAAGTTTTAAAAATGTAATTGTTTAAAATTTGATAGGAAAAACTTTATAGTTTATATAGTCATATCCGATTCGAATCAAATTAATGGAATAATGGATACATTCAAGAATAATATAAAAATAGGATTAGTGTTTTTTATATTATAGGAGATAATTTTATCTTTTACACACAAAATAAAATATATACGAACCATATTTTTTTCTCTCTATATTCTATTCATATGACCCACATGAGCTATATTCACTTTTATATTGTAGAAAACAATTTTATCTCTTAAAACATGAAATACATTAAGTCCTATAAAAAAAAATTAAGAAAACAAACAATAAATTTGAGGTTGGAAATCAGAATTTTGAATTCAATTAATTGATGAAACAGATGATTATTTGATGGGTACGTGGTAGGATGCATGGGAAAGGTAGTGTGGGTTGGTGAGAACAGAACCAGACTTATAGCTAGCTGGAACGCGGAGAGAGAGTAGAATAGTGTCGTGCCAAGGACTAGTTCAATAGTTGTAGGAGTAATGCACTATATATCCAGCTACGAGCTAGTGTTAAAAAGAATAAGGGAACCCTGATGGGGACGTGCACGCCTATAGAAGTTTTTGGGCTAGTTGTGCTCTCTCTTTTAACATTCAGAACACTTTTTTTATTTTATTTTTTTGGTTAAACCGGTCATGTTGCAACTTGTAATAGGTACCTGATCGAGGAAAATGGAAATTTTGAAAGAACACCGACCAAAATGTTACTGTTTACCAACTTTTTTACTTGAATACCATGCGTGAACAGTGTTATTTTTCAATCTGCCACGAGGGCAAGTTCGCTACCCGATGTAGCGAATTCGGTTTGCTGACGTGTCACGTTTTTAGTGGACACCAACTTGATTTTAACCAAGTTAGCCTACATGGTAGGCGACCTTCATTTTTTTTTATTATTTTTCTTTTAAAATTTGATACTTGTTATCCATTAAAAATGTGACACGTCAGGAAACCGAGTTCGCTACACAGGTAAAGAATTTGCCCCCGTGGCATATTGAAAAATAACACTGTTCTCGTGGCATTTAGGTAAAAAAGTTTGTGAACAGTAATATTTTGGTCAGTGTTCCAATTTTGGAGCTGGTTGTGCTCTCTGTTTAATATTATTAAGAACACTTTTTTTTTTCCGTTTAATTAACCTGGTCATGTTGCGATACTTTGTACTACAAGGTAGATAATAACGGAAATGTTAAGTTATTCTTTCCTTAGATAATGAGTTGCAGCAAGCTATCTTGCATTTTCTTAGTAATTAAATGTTTTGATGTACTATCTTTTTTAAAAAAAAATATTATTTTTAATTTAAATTAATTTTTTAAAATTACTTATGTAAATCTTTTTTATAATTTATATATTTTCTATTCTTTTATTTTATTTTATATTTTCTCTAAATTTAAAATACACGAATATGATACACGAAATATATTTGCTAGTCACAGATACCTTTTTTAAACTCAATATTGAGAGTTGGTTTTATTTCGTCGTCTTTGCGATTCTAGCGCTTTAATATTCCAAAAAGATACCTAATTGGTGCAGTTGCTTAATGCATGATGCATATGCGTTCTTGAGAAATTATATAGAAATAGTTATATAATAATATTATCAATTATAAGTGCTTCTTTTGATGGAGTCCGAAAAGAATTAGAAGAAATAAAAATAAAAACTCTACTTAGTGAACAGGAAAATCATATCTTGATTTACTACAAGTACAAATAGTTTGATCATATGTAACATTAATTATTAATTATAATTAAAGAAATGGCTAAAATAAATATAATTAGATAAAAAAATTAACTTATTAGGTGGTACACTCAGCCTTCAATATTGCAGAAGTAGTGAAGTACTAGAGAAATTTTCCATGAATAGACCATTTTGTCGATAGAAAAGAAAAGACAAGATTTTTTTTTTGTATACAAGAAAAGACAAGATTTACTAATAAGTAAATCACCTATATATATATATATATATATATATATATATATATATATATATATATATAGTTTGAAGTAAATGTGAAATGCAGAATTTAATTCCGGGGCGTTTGGTACGCAGCCAAAAAATTTTTGCCATGGAAAGTGTGGTATGGAAAAATAATTTGCTGTGTTTGGTAGGGGGAAGAAATGTTTATCTGTTGGAAACTCAATTTGCAGTCAAGTTATTTGCCACCATTTTACATTGTTGAACTTTGCCATTGAAAATGTGGAAAAAAAAATTGCCGACGCGGGGGGAAAATGGCTCCAAGTTTTTAAGACAAAAACACCGTTAGCCCTAGATATAAACAGAGGGGTGAGAGAAAATGTATGGGTAATTTGATAATTTTGATAAAGATTCTCATCATTTTTTTATAATCAACCAAACATAGTTAGTCAAATTAATCCAGATTTTCTGTCAAATTTTTTGGGCTACCAAACATCTTTTTGCAAATTATACCGTAAAAAATTTGCTAACTATTTATCTGCAAAAAAAATTTCCGGGATCAAAAAAAATTTCTCCTATACCAAAAGTCCCCTTAAAGTAAGATTTAAAGGCGAAGTAAACTATTGATAGTTTTTAACGAGAAAATCAAGTGTTAAGATTTTAACAAAATCTACATTTTGCTGTTCATTTGCGTCTAATTTATCAAAACTTCAACCCTTGGTTTTCTATTAATTCACTTTATCATATGAATCTTTTGTTTAGAGCAGCTAAATAAGTGAGACGCATGATTCTTTCTTACTTGTTATTTTCTTAATTTATTTATTAATAACTTTTTGCATATATGTGAACCAATTACTACTATCGGTGAAAATGGGTTGGGCCAGGCCAAGCTTTGTCCTGAAAAGTTCAAGCTTATATAAAAAAATTTCAATTTAGTTTGGTCCGAGCCTAGTACGAGTCTAACTGTTAGTCAGACTTGATCCGTTTATAAACAAAAAAATGACATGTCTTGGCCCCTGTTAATTTTTAACTTCCAAGCAGAACCATGAATCAACTTCACAAAATACTCAAATTCTGTTGCTAAAACAAAAATCACAATTTTAACATCCAAACAGAACCATGAATAACAACAAAACTCATCATAATCTGCATTTAAGTCACTTTTAAAAGCAAAATGCTCAAACTAAATAACATATATTTTATCAGATCCAACAAACAAATATATACTATGTAAATTAAAACAACTACATGAATCCAACAAACACATCATGATGCTTGTAGTAGCCAAAAACGTCTCTTCAACTTCTCTTCCCTACAAATATAATTCGGAGATTACATAAGTTGGTAAACAATTTGTAAATGTAGATCACAAAAAATAATAATAAAGAATAGAAACAAAAAAAATAAGATTAAGAAACAAAAAATCTTTTAATAAATTCATATAGGAAATTTCACATGCAGAGATGTTGGTTCTTCCTACATAAAAAATAAAGTCAAATTTGTATTAAAATTTAACCGAATATAATTAAATTATAAAATAATTTCAATTGATTAAATTTATACCTTTTATTTTTTCTTCAAGTCATACGTATTACGTAGCCAATCTCCATCATATATTAAAGCTTAGATGGTATCTTCGGCCAAACTAGAACGATAGGCATCAATAACTCTTCCGCTAGCACTAAATGTTGATTCTGATGGTACTGTAGAGATTGGTAGATTTTATACCTCAAAGATAGTATTGGTGAGGGAACGAACCTATGTCCTTCCATCACCTACTTAACTCACATACACCAGCTAAATTATCATCATTTGGTACTACTATGAATAATATTATTTAATTTAATTTAAGAAAAATAATATGATATAGGTCGGTCTGTAGGCTTTAGGGTTGGCAAAACGGGCCAACTTGGCCCAACCCGCATGCAACCCAAAAAAATGAGCCGGGTTTGGGTTGGCTCAAAAAAATGTGCTAGAAGGAAGACCTAACCCGACCCGAGCTGAGTTAGGGTTAGCTCAAAAATATGGCTCGTGGGTTGACTTGCAAAAATGGCTCGCGAGTTGGCTCAAGAATTGACTCACTGGTTGGCTCAAAAATGGCTCACGGTTTGGCTCATTTTTCAGCCTATTTAAATGAACCTGTAATATTAATGCACCAGCTATACGACTTCCATCAACTTAAACAATACAATTGTCTTACAAAATAGTTTATAAAAAAAAGCAAAATAGAAAGTTACAGAATGAGAAAAAAAAAAAACAAAATGTTCTAGTTTCGAATTTTCTTTACAACAAATTTGCACCAACATCGAGAAACAATCAGAACCACTTGCTACCAAGTGGGTAAGATATTTGAACCAAACAGAGCCAATGTCTAACAATATAAAAATGGCAGTGATGTGAAAAGATTAAGGAGTTAGGTTTAGAGAAGAAAGAAAGACAAGGACATCGTGTGTGAGTTTTGTTTATTTTTGTATATTATATTTTGTATTTTTTTATTAAAAAAAAAAAAGTCAACCTGCTAGCTGGCCTGTTTGACCCGCTGGTTTGCTCGTTTTTTTCCGAGCTGGCTCGGGACAGGTTGGTAGCTCATTT